TGCTCCTCCACATCGAGAGGAGCCAGCTGAGGTGGCTCGGGCATCTGTTTCGGATGCCTCCTGGGCGCCTTCCTGTGGAGGTGTTCCGGGCATGTCCCACTGGGAGGAGGCCCCGGGGAAGACCCAGGACACGCTGGAGGGACTATGTCTCTTGGCTGGCCTGGGAATGCCTCAGCATTTCCCTGGAGGAGCTGGAGAAAGTGTTTAGGGAGAGGGAAGTCTGGGCATCTTTGCTTAGACTGCTGCCCCCGTGACCCGGTTCCGGATAAGCGGAGGAAGATGCATGGATGGATGGACTATTCAGGCATGTATCATTGTTGGAGTATTACATTTGGCTCCCCTGCAGTAGCCTAACTAAGTGCTAATGGTTAGCCTGCTGCTAATGATCCGGTCTCCTGGTTCAGTTATTAGATTATTTTTTGGATAAACTGAGAACATAAAGAGATACCGACATACTATCCAACTCTTTGCCAGACTGTAAATACATTTGTGCATTTGACTTAGACTTCTTTTATACAGTATATGTAATAACGCAAAACCACTGTGGCTGTGTTAGTTACCAGATATGAGCTAACAGCTAATGCTATACAAGAACAAGACACATTTGAACAGGTGAACAACAGACTGAGATCAGTCTGGGTTTGAACAAGGTCAAACATATACTGGAACATCTCTTCAGTTTTCCCTCCTGCCATCGTACACATTGATTTCACCGGTCTATCTTGTGGATGCAGTGGTGGGCAGTGGGCTCATTCATGAATCCTGGAATTCACTATGATGGGCAAAGAATAGAGGTTCAAAGGTTTATTGAGCTTTTCTTCAAGGAAAATCAATGTTAGACTATAGGAGAGTATCTCTATATGACTTAAATGTTTCTGCAGGGAATTTTTAAATAACCATTATATAGAACTGTAAAAATGAAAAGGTAAAATATTGCCAAAAAAAGACAATTAAGTAAAATTTATAATAAAATTGTACAGATTTGTTGCAGGGAGTGGCCCTGGGACCGTGTGGCTTCACTGGAGAAGTTTGGTTTAGGTAATAGTTACATCTCAGATACATTTCAAAAGAAGGAGAAATACATTTTTTGTTCAGAGGTTGCCTTGGGAATTTCAGGACCTAGAACTGCTCTTGCTTTATAACGTAGTCACAGGATTTAAACTTTAAGGGTTTTTCTGTCACAAACATGACCAGTTCTGATTAGTACTGCTTACTGGCATAGATAATTCCTTTGTGCACTGTTCTTTCCAGCCCAGTTACCACACTTTTGGTGGATGAATAACTAGCAGAGGCCAGTGAAGGAAAGCCCACCTCTGTTCAGCTTTGTTTTGTGCAGCGGTGTGAAACAGCCATTACAAGTGTGAGAAACAGAGTTCCTGAGCAGACAGGTGAAGGACAGGAGCAGTAAAGGTAAAATGATGGAGAGTTGCAGGGGCTGGCAGAGAAAGAGAACCTAATGGGGAAGAGTGAGTGCAGTGGCGGCCAAGTTGTTGTCAGTTTGACTTATCTTCTGTGTGCCACTCATAAAACATTCAACTGTAGCGCACGTTTCTTTCTCCGTCATCTCTCCTTTTCTCCCTTTCCTCGCTTCTCTCCCTCTTACCTCCACCTCTGGTTATCTTCTGATTGTTTTCCCAGTGCTGAGACTGGCCTATTGAATGTTTCATGAGGTTTTTTTTTTTTTTTTTTGAAAAAGAGGACTCTCTCAATCTGAAACACACTCATTAAATATGAGTTCACATGGGACTTGGTACAATAGGAACTTGTTAGCCCAAATGTGCTGCTCTTGCGGAAACACTAAAATTTAATGGGATGCCTTCAACAGTGTAGTGAGAGTTAAGGTTGAATGCAGGTAAAGGCTGAAAAAGAGTGACAGAGAGACAGAAGGTTAGGGAGAGAGGGACCGGCTATAGTACTGCAGGTCTTGGATTAAATTCAGATTAAAAAAGGCTTAAGGGCCATTTCAACAGTACTGTTACATGATTTAAAGGAATTAAATCATAAAATCTCTCCATCTGGCCTCATGGAAAAATAGTTCAGTGCAGACACAGTGAGTAAGAAATAGAGTGAAAGGACTTGAAGTACATATGTAAGTTACATCTGCACTTTTATGTCATGACCCAAATATGCTGTACAGCAACACTTAACTACAGTCTGAAGGAGTATGTGTCCATTGAGACTGAGCGGCCGAGTAAAGATGTAATTCTCAGTAAAGACTCTATGTCATGTTTTGTGGTTCCAACAATGTCAAGCTCTTCTACATCTTTAATTATAAAAGAATCATCAGAGCACTCCAGCTCTCTGTGGGACGTCTCTTGCTAACAGATGAGTGTGCCTTCTTCTCGTCTTGCAGAACAGAGTCGGTGGCAGAGAAGATGCTAACAAATTGGTTTGCCTTCTTGCTCTACAAATTTCTCAAGGTAAAATGAAATCCTTCTCACATCTTATTGCTACAGGTGTCAATATTATATACTACTACATCTATTAGCACACCTTTAAATCGACTGCTGCATATGTTTTGACCTGTCTAAAACTGACGTTCATGGATATTGTTCATATGTTTTGACCTGTCTAAAACTGACTTTCATGGACGTTGAAGAGGAATGATGGTCATGCATACTGTATCTCCAGCTTTCCACCTCAAAATGAGAGAAAGTCTCGTTTTCTAGTATGTTTGATATGTTATGTTCTAGTTTCTGAGTCTGAATACAGATCTTTTCTTCCCTCCACTCCTTTGCCATGCCTTATTTTCCTCTCTCCCACCTATTTACTCTAATCCCTGGGTTCCCATCCAAAACAAAGGAGTGTGCCGGCGAGCCTCTATTCATGCTGTTCTGTGCCATCAAACAGCAAATGGAGAAGGGACCCATAGACTCCATCACTGGAGAGGCACGCTATTCTCTTAGTGAGGACAAGCTCATCCGACAGCAGACTGAATACAAGATGCTGGTGAGTCAGAAAGACATTTATAAAAAAAAAAGGAAAAATTAAAAGGAAAAGGGTCCAAAATTTTATCTCTATTCATTTTTGTACATCTCTTAGCAAAGAGCCTTGACAGATCCACATAAATCTGGCAGTTGTCAAGGCTGTGGTAGCAATTTTATGAAGCAGTAATTTTATGTTTGTATAGTTTCAACAACATGCCGGCAGATGACAGTCTCCCATATCCAGATGTCTATTTTGTCAAGAACAAAGAGATTCTAGATAGTTTCTTCCAAACAAATTGAAAAAATAATTCAGCTTTAATGTTTCATTTTCTTATGTGTAAGCATCACTATGTTTGTCTGCATTACACTGCTATATCTCATCTCTAACCATGACTGGAAAGGCATAGTATGTTCATTGAGGTTCATGTAGTTATCTCTGACTGCCATCCTTGAGTCTGTATTTCAGGGACAAGGATGTGATTCCTCATCGGTTTCCTTTTACAATGTACTACATTCATTTGCAAGGCTCAACAGCTGTGTCTGCTTTTTTTTTTTTGAAATAGCAAACGTCTGTGCTTGAAATTTTGTAGACCTCATGAAATTTGTCTACCCAAACTAAAGGTGAAATAATGAAACAGAATGAAAACTTATGTTTTAAATGAAAAACATACTCCAAGACACCAAACTGAACCACTTACAACAAATAACCTGTGATACATGCAACTTTTAACACAGATGTACTTTTCAAGACTCAAAATTGTGACTGGTGTATGTTAATCAGTAAAGAGGCATAGGGTAGGGGCACCATAATAACCCAACACTCCTCTTTCTTTTACCTTTCTATTAAAATGAACCTGGCTGGGTCCCTCCACCAGCATGTCAGAATAACTTTCCCCTCAGGCTTTAGCTCCAGAGAAAACCCAGGCAGCGACAGGATGACACCTCTCTGATCGGCATGTCAGAGAGTCTGAGAGGCTGTGTCTTATTACTTGTTTAATGCCCCTGCTAGAGCTGCACAGCCACATCCTGGAGGCGTGAAATTACATTTCCGGCCAAGATCCTTTCCACCAGGACAGTTTGGTGAAGAGGAGTTAATGGAAAAAAAAACTTTCCTAGCAAGCAACACCTTTCTCTCTGAATCTTTCTCCCCCCTCCTCTGTCTCACTATCCTGGATCCCCAGACGCTGAGCTGTGTGAACCCAGACAATGAGAACAGCCCAGAAATCCCTGTCAAGGTGCTGAATTGTGACACCATTACCCAGGTAAAGGAGAAGATTCTGGATGCAGTGTACAAGAACATGCCCTACTCTCAGCGCCCACGAGCTGCAGACATGGATCTTGGTGAGAGTTCGCTATACTGTGTAAAACTAACTGCTTAATTCTATTTTTATTATATAGTCTGAGATGTAACATAGATATCTGTTATCTGTAACATAGATAAAACATAGATATCCATTCCACAACTGAAGAATGACATTAAAGATGAGGGAGGGCATGTCAGGGGAGTTTACCACACATTACACTGAAGACATATGACAACAACTAAGGGCTCAACATCAGTTTCTGGAAGAGAACCTCCGCCCTACACTTGTTTACAGCCCAAATCAGAGCAACACTCTCCAGCACTGATGTTAAACCTTAGTGACAGCACACCTACACTTAGTCTTACGCCCACAACATGTCTTTCAAAACCGAATGACTCGGCACAAATCTGGCTGACATGCACCTTCAAAAGGAGTACATAAAGCACCTTTTAGGTGGTTGCTGATTGTGCTTCAGGTTTGCAGTTTCATACCTAAAGGGGCTTTTACATGTTAGGGATTTGGAGAGGATCAGATTCTCCTTGTTGTTTTGAGCAGCTTAAATCCTTGTGAAGGCACTGTGTCATTTGTGTTTTGTTTACGGAATCACAGTCATTTTAATTGTCAAGTACAAATATACAGGAAGCCGTCTTAGTGACAAATTGGCTGCCACGCTTGACATTTTACAGAGTTTCAATCAAAAACAGTACACAAGCATAGAATGACCTCACTCTGGACCCATGTGTCAAACACTTCCCAAAATGCCATATGTCACGCATTCACCATTATTGTTTCCCTAC